AGCCCTCATTGATATAATAGGAAGTAGGGGTTTGGGGATGTGATTATGCTATGAACACATGGCCTTCTTGAACATTATTAATGCTTTTATAATAGAGTTCTGAGAGATATCCCACCACCTGTTCACCATACAAGGCCACAACAAGAAGGTGCCATCCTGTAAGCCAGGAGGAGAGCCCTCAACAGACACACAATCTTCCAGTGTCTTGATCTTAGCTTTTTCAGCCTCTATAACAACGATAAACAAAAGCCTGCTATTAGCAAGCCACCCAGTTGGTATTTTATTAGAACAGCTGGAATGGACTATGACAGATGGCATAAAGGTTTTTATAAGGAAGTGTGTATATATGTGTGTGTGTGTGTGTAGATGTATGCATTGCTTGAGTCTAGTGGCTCACAATTCTGCATGCACACACATTACAATCACCAGGAGAGCTTTTCAAAAACACCTATACCTTGGATCACTGTAAGATTTTGATTTAATTCACCTACGAGTGGTGCTTGGGAATTGGTATGTTTTAAAAGGCTCCCCAAGACATCCTAAGATATAGTCAGATCTGCAATCTTTTAGCTTACTTTTTTTTTTAAAGATTCATTTTAGTTGAAAGAGTTACAGAGAGAGGGAGAGACAGAGTAAGAAAGATAGAGATCTTCCATCTCTTAGTTCACTCCTCAAATGGCCACCAGCAGTCAGGGCTGGGTCAGACTGAAGCCAAGAGCCAGGAGCAAGGAGCTTGTTTGAGGTCTCACATGTCGGTGCAGGAGCCCAAACACTTGGGCCATCCTCCACTGCTTTCCCAGGAGCATTAGCAGGGAGCTGGATCAGAAGAGGAGCAGCCGGAATACAAACCACTGCCCATGTGGGATGCTGGCACTGCAGGCTGTAGCTTAACCTACAACACCGCAATGCTAGCCCCATTGCTTACTTTGTATCTTGCTGTTGTCAACCCCCATTGCTAGCATTGGGGCCCCTCAAAACTGAGTCTCTCCTCCACTCTATCTACCTACCAATCACTTAGAGGAACGAGGGCTTCAACTTTACGATTCCCCATGGAGCTGCAGGATTCTTTCATTCCTGCTGTGCCTTTCAGGGACATGCATCGTTTCAGATGGGGGTCTTGTTGGCTCTGTCTATGATCCACGCAAGACAAAATCCTGCGAGGGAGTTCTGTGTATTCACCAGCCCTTTGATGGTGTGGTTTGTGCTTACAGGATTTTCAGAGTCCATATGTGGAAATCGCTTGTGTGTTTCTCAGACTTCTTGGTCTGTATTTGAATGATTTTAGGCATAAAAAAAGGCACAGAAGTTTTTACTCCCCAATCTTATAACAGGGGTTCTTTGTAATGTTTTTCCACCTAATGATCCTGGTTTACAATGTATTTCAAAACTAGAGTTTTTCAATCCAATCAATATTAAAATTTAATGAGGCAAAGTTACTCATAAAAGAAAATTTATAAATGAGTTGAGACAATATTTTTACAGCAATTTGATTAGTAAGAAAAGAAAATATGCTCCTTATTAGCTAACTATGATAACTTACATATAAAATCATGTTGGCCAAATTCATGTGCACAATTAGGCACCTAATTATGTTTTAAATTCAACTACATGCATAAAGATCTGATCAGAAATGTCTAATAAAGGTAATTTCTTTTTCTCATTTTAGGGAAAACATTATTGTTTTTTTTTTTCTATAAGAAGTTTAAAAACAACCTCCTAAAAATATACCAATTTGTGTATCTACAGTTATATACTCTTAAGAAGTAGCTATCAATTTCCATCTAAACTACGGTGTCCACTTAAAAATCTTTTTGACTCTAGTACAAAGTCAGCATTTCATTATCTACCCATCAGTCATATGAGGATGGTGAGTTCAATTGTCATTTGAGAAACAGAAGCAAAGAGACTACATTCAATTCGTACAGAAAAGACACTCATGAAGAGCAGTGACTGTCTCCAACAAAAACAAAGCCAAGGAAAAGAACACCAAGAAAACAACCTAATTCTCTATTGTGACCCTTCCTCCTAACACAAATATGACTGGTTAAAAGTGAATTCCAAAGAACATACACTTTCTTCAATCCATTAGTAAATATTTATAGAGGCTGCAATGAGCCAGGCATTGAAGGCCCTGGAGACATGAAGATGAAAGACGCACTTCCTGTTTTCAAGAATGTTAACTCCCAGGGAGATAAATGTGCAAATCAACAGTGCAGCTACCTAGTATCATTGCCTTAGCAGAGGCCCATTTCCCTCAGGGCAATGCTCTCCTGTAATTGGACCTCTCAAGCCAACAGACATTGCAAGAAGGCTTTCTCAAGGAGAGACTGTACCATATATTAGTCTAAGTCATTCTATATCACAGTAAAGAAAAAAATTAGCCAACTTGAATAAAAGGCAGCATTTTGAATTTAGACACAATGGTTCCATTTTAAATGGCCAGGGTGTAATTTGCTTTAGCATTATTTCAAAAGATTGGAGATGGTTTAGTCGAAGGGCAGCCTACCCCTTGAATACAGGCCAGTCTCCATAGCCTATCTGATAGGATGGCTGGAACTTCTTCCATGCAGCCTCTATGCATCATCTCCCATATCACACTTGTGATTTTCTGCTCACAACTGAAAGCTACTGTCATAATCTAAGAGGCTTCTGTACTTTTGAGACATAGGAGAGGACCAATTGCAAATTCAGATAAAGTTTAAGAGTACAACAAATTGAAAAGCTTCATTCAGTTGGCTTCTGAAGTTTTATGAAATAGGAAAGAATATTATTGTTCAAAGAGATGGAAGAACGTCAACTAACAAATTCTGGAGACACAATAAGAGGGCATGCTGAAATACAGGAACACAAATGTTAAGGGAGGGCATTTAGCCTAGTGGTCAAGACACGGTTAAGATTCCCATGTCCCAGATTGGCATTATCTGGTTTCAATGTCCAGCTCAGCCTTCTGACTCCAACTTCTTGCTGGCAGACCCTGGAGGCAGTGGTGGTGACTCAGGTAACTGAGTTCCCATCACCCATGTGGGAGACCTGGATTGAGTACCTGACTCTTGGCTTCAGAACTCAGTTCCCTCGAGTTTGGCCAAGTGTGCTTTTGGTGTGAGCCAGCAGATGGGACCTCCCTCTTTCTCCTCTGTCTTTCTGCCTCTCAAATATATTTTAAAAGCTTAAAAGAAAATTTAAGATATTATTTGCAAAATGAACTTAAAGGTTATCATACATTTGTGGTTCTCAGTCCAAGTTCAGTGCAATATTCTGTTCAAAAGCAGTTGTTCCTTTGTTGTTTAATTAACAAATCAGGGAAGCATGAGGGTACCTCAACACGTTTTTGGGAAAATAGAATAGAGATAAATTTATTTTGATGCAAAAATTTTTGAGATCCATCTATACAAGGCACCTTCAAAATGTTCATGGAAAATGTGTATTAAGGAAAACTTCAAAATAAACTTTTGGAGGTTTCCTCACACCATGCTGGAGCTGCTATGGGCTGAAAGGCAACGTGGGAACAAGATTCAGCACCCACTTTTTCCTGATTCTGGAAGGTCAACTGGCTGGGGTCACAGTGGTTACCATCTATGGATGGGAGGGGCTGATGTTCTTGTCTGGCTATGGGATCCACCATTGTACAGTTGCCCATTGAGATGTGACACCACATCAACACCAGGACATAATTTGGCTGCCAAAAACAACACAACTACCATCCTATTACACATATTAGTCATTGAAAAGATATCCACAACTCTCTCAAATGCCTTGGATCTTGAAACTTTAAAGAAAATTTGATTTTTTAAAAATGATTTTAGTCACAGGCCGGCACCGTGGCTCACTAGGCTAATCCTACACCTGCGGCGCCGGCACACCGGGTTCTAGTCCCAGTCGGGGTGCCGGATTCTGTCCCGGTTGCCCCTCTTCCAGGCCAGCTCTCTGCTGTGGCCAGGGAGTGCAGTGGAGGATGGCCCAAGTGCTTGGGCCCTGCACCCCATGGGAGACCAGGAGAAGCACCTGGCTCCTGGCTTTGGATCTGCGCAGTGCATGAAGTCCATGTCACTTTGCCTTAACAATTAACTATTTGCAACTTGTATGGAATATAATAAATGCAATGATGTCAATTAAGTGGCAGATGCTGAGTTCTCTGGTTATGTGTGTAATGGCACCTTTCAGGACTTAACAGCAAAAGTCAAGAAGAAATGTACACATTTAAGTACAGTTGTGTCAAGAAAAATGCACAGTTAAGTTCATGTCTCTAGTACATCACTGATGTACGCTCACTAATTATTCCACTAGCCACCTTCTGTTCCAGGAGCACTTTTTAGATCTCATACGCTGGGCCGGCACTGGGGCACAGTGGGTTAAAGCCCTGGCCTAAAGCGCTGGTATCCCATATGGGTGCCGGTTCTAGTCCCAGCTGCTCCTTTTCCAATCCAGCTCTCTGCTATGGCCTGGGAAAGCAGTAGAAGATGGTCCAGGTCCTTGGGCCCCTGCACCCACGTGGGAGACCCGGAAGAAGCTCCTGGCTCCTGGCTTTGGATCGGCACAACTCTGGCCATTGCGGCCATCTGGGGAGTGAACCAGCATATGAAAGACCTCTCTCTCTCTTTCTCTACCTCTCTCTGTAACTCTTTCAAATAAATAAAATAAATCTTAAAAAAAATTCTCATACGCATCCATGCCGACTGTTACAGATTTTAAGACTTAACCTCACTTTACATGCACAGTTACATGTGGAAAGAAACCAAGTCTTGTCTTTGGGTCAACCCCGACTGTATTAAACAAATACAGATCTTTAACTCCATACAGACATTGTTGAATCATACACAGTCCGTATGATACAGACCATAGGGTAGAATATATTATAATAAAGGCATACATTTAAAGTTTGTTTGTGTTTCTTTTATACCTTAGCAAGTGATAATATGAAATCTCAATCATACATTCATTCTCCCCATTTCATAAACATCATAAAATAAAAATTGAAAATGTATTTTACCAGTAAGACAGACCTATCTCATTAAAGCCACTGTAGCCCAGCTCTTGCCTGCTAAGTCCCAGATCTTCAAGGTCCATGCATTTAAATCCTGGTGGGCACTGGTAGCCTTCTTCTAGCTCAGGTGAGCAGTGGGTATCTGGGATAGCTAAACTATTCCAGGTTACATTCCTGTGAACAACACACGAAAGTGTTAGACAACTTCAACAAGCATAAATGTTGACTGAAACGAATGATGTAATACTTTTCATTAATAACTGCCATGTATGAACACCAATTGAAGACTCCTGATTTGCGGATGGTATTTGTTACACTAATGACATAGTAAGCATTGTCAAATGATACCCGATTCACTCTACCCTAGCACTTCCTGAGAATATTATTATCACTACAGTTTTTGTCATTAAACACAGATCTAGAGAAATGAAGGAAGGGATTTTTAAAATATTTTCAAAGAATTGACTTGTCCAGAGATTCCTTGTTATTCACAACATCCTGTCCCAACACAGGCATGATTTTTTATTCTCTGTTTCTAAGCAACATTAAGAGATGTTTGCATTTTTTGAATGATATAAGTGCCGCAAGTTTCATAAATGACACATAGTCTTCTGTGTTGACAGTTTAGAAAGAAAACCAAAGAGAAACTGGAGGAACTGAATTTAGAACAGAGATGATAAAGTAACTAACTGAGTAATAGCTTCTGCACTCTTAAGTTCTGTTAGGGGACGGTGACGTACCTGCCTGTCATCCTTGTTACGGACAGGCTGGGAATAAGGTAAGTGTAGAAAGTTTTAGAAAAGACATGGCTTTCTTGTGACAAGTGCAGGTAATCACCAGACTGGTGGCTGCAGACTCTCATTATGGGCCAACTTGAAAAGTGGGCCCCCATCACTGCCACGTAGGGTAGCTGATATGCACAGAGTGGAGCCCAGAGTGCAGGCTGGATGACTTCACAAGCCTTCCAGGCCAACGACTTTGTTCTAGTCATTTGCCACTGCACCTGTGTTTCTAGGAGTTTCTTTTTTTTAATCAATCTATTTTTATTTATTTTTATTTTTTAAACTTTTATTTAGTAAATATAATTTTCCAAAGTACAGTTTATGGATTACAATGGCTTCCCCCCCCCCATAACTTCCCTCCCACCCGCAACCCTCCCATCTCCCGCTCCCTCTCCCATTCCATTCACATCAAGATTCTTTTTCAATTATCTTTATATACAGAAGATCAATTCAATATATATTAAGTAAAGATTTCATCAGTTGGCACCCACACAGAACATACAGTGTAAATTACTGTTTGAGTACTAGTTATAGCAGCAATTCACATAGTACAACACATTAAGGACAGATCCCACATGAGGAGTAAGTACACAGTGACTCCTGTTGTTGACTTAACAATTTGACACTCTTGTTTATGGCATCAGAAACCTCCCTAGGCTCTAGGAGTTTCTTACGTGCAGAACAGCCAGCACACAGCCTTGATTCCTTCAGCCAATGGCCACACTGGGGCAGACTTGGTGAGTGACTTTCTCTTTGGCATTCAGTTACTGCTTCCTTCCTCTATATAATATACAACTTCTGTGTAACCCCTTAGCTGTTCTAGGTCACCACTTACACAGTTTACACTGGGCCCCCTTCCCCACTCCTGGCTCCCCATGTACTATGCCTGATCATCTCTCATCAGTTCCTTTTCAATCATAAACAAGGCTCAAGACTCACACACAATTCAGATACTTTATGCTTATTCCTACTGGGTTCTTCTCTTTACTAGCTGCCAAAGAGCTGCTAAAAAGTGTCTGCAATGTTTAGGGAAAAAGTGATTAACCATTGATTCCTCTAATCATATTGTAAGGTGATCCTCTGGACCCAACATGTAAAACACACTGAAAAAGGCCCAGTTATGGAAATCATCACTTGGGCAGCTCAGAGAGATGACTTTAGGCAGATATTACTTACAAGTGTACTTTAAAAATTCACATTTAAAGATTAGTGTATTTTGGTGCAAAAATTTTTCCAATCATATATTCAAGGGGTCTTCCAAAATTCAGGGAAAATGTGTATTATGAAAAATTCTATATAGATTTCAAAAGTTTCACACCAAAATAAACTCATCTTTAAGTTTTATCTTTCCACAAACTTTCTCCTAATTTCACATTCTCACACATACACTAAATGATCCATCTTCACTCAGGTCTAACTGTCTCAATGATTCAGATATGGTATCTGCAACCAGAGAGCAGAATGAGTGGGAAAGAGAGTGGGCCCCGTTTCAGAGCAAGGCTTTCTGGGTTTGGGCACAGCTTAGCCACATACTGGTCCTTGACTTGAATAAAGTTCTAAGCCTCTCTAAGCTCAGCTTCTTCATTTGTAAGAATAGTAATCACAATTAAAAGTGAAGCTTTTTTGGTGCTTATATGAAATAAACCAAGTGCTGCACATAACATGCTGTGAGCATCAATAAATGGTTATTATGAATGATTAATTATTGCAATAATAGAATTTAGCATAAATCCCAGTATATACAAATGCAAGAATAAATAACTGTGAAGAGAAGAAATTTTGGCAAGTAATGCTGAAAGCATTTTGTTCATAGAATGGTGCAGCTGAAATATATTTTATAGTTCACCTATTTTTTTTTTTTGACAGGCAGAGTGGACAGTGAGAGAGAGAGACAGAGAGAAAGGTCTTCCTTTGCCGTTGGTTCACCCTCCAATGGCCGCCACGGCCAGCACACTGCGGCCGGAGCACCGCACTGATCCGAAGCCAAGAGCCAGGTGCTTCTCCTGGTCTCCCATGGGGTGCAGGGCCCAAGCACTTGGGCCATCCTCCACTGCACTCCCTGGCCACAGCAGAGAGCTGGCCTGGAAGAGGGGCAACTGGCACAGAATCCGGCGCCCCAACCGGGACTAGAACCCGGTGTGCCGGTGCCGCAGGTGGAGGATTAGCCTATTGAGCCTATTGGGCACAGGCCCACCTATTTCTTTATACTTGAAGAAGTTCAGAGAAGGCAAAGTTTACTCATTTGTCAAAATTAACATTTTTTCTCATTTCAAATAGTTTAAGTCTAACACGAGAAAAAGTGTCTGAGAAAACACTCTAAGAGACAGTTCCCAAAATGTCAACGTTTCAGGTATTTGGGAAAGAAACTGGCCCCTGCAGGCAGTCTGACCAAGCCATTTGCAAGACAAAGTGAAAGTGCCCACATCATAGGGCAGGACTGAAAATGTCCTAAAGGTACTTGCAAAGCAAAGTCTGTACACAGTAAGTGGTACTTGTTGTCCATTGTTACTTATCAATGGTTTGAAATTCATACACTGTCTCCATGAAAGTTTAGCTCTGTGTGTGCTGCCTCAGGTTCTTCACTCCTAAAATGTCTAGAGCTATTACAACCAATTTCTGGGGTATTGTAATAACTAAATGAGCTAATGTACGCAATTCATAATGACACCCAGAATAAGTTATTCACTCAATAATTATTAACTTTTATATGAAAGTATATTTTCCTTTTTTATTCCATTTGTTTCTCTTTCATATTGGCTTTGCATATCATTTTACAAAAAGATTTATGTATGCATTTGTGTACATATTTGAAAAGTAGAGTGAGAGTGAGTGAGGAGAGAGACAAAGACAGAGAGAGAGAGATAGAGATCTTTTATCTGCTGGTTCACTCTCCAAATGGCTGCAACAGCCAGGACTTGGCCAGGCTGAAGCCAGGAGCCAGGAGTTCCATCCACGTTTCCCATGGAGGTGGCAAGAACTTAACTACTTGGCACATGCTCATTAGTGACCTATTTATTAGGTGATTAACTGTTCTAAACCACAAGGACATTACCATTTTCTTAAAGTTGAAATGAGCATCAAGAGTTTCAGAATACGCACTCATATATCTGCTATTTACCTTGGTTTCATTTTCTCATTTTACAAGAATCTTCCAGATTTTATTTTGATTTGTTAATGACAATTATTTCCTCATTCATTTTCCCTTAGATCCTCTGGATAGAACAAGAGGATTTCAGGAATTAGGCAGAGTAGAATTCTTGCTCCACCAGGCAAATCCTAGGTGCTGACAATGATTCTCTCAGTCAAAATAAATATGCACTTGTGCTTAAATGGGCTGTAAATCCTGCATTTCTCATCCCCAGATTTCTTGGAAAAGTACCCACTTGTACCCCATCTAATTTAATTTGTCAGCCCACTTACATGAGCTGTAAACCGCTGAATGACTCTGGCTTATTTCCATATGCTGCACCCACCTGGAAGATGCTTTATCTTCTTTGACTCTTGGCACGGTTGTTTCTATGGGGGGCAGAGTAATGACCCCCTAAAGATGTCCACACCTGCTCTCTGGAACTTGTGAATATATTACGTTACATGGAGAAAGGAACTAAAGTTACAGACATGATTAAGGCAAAAGTCTTGAGTTTGAAAGATGACCCTGGATTATCTAAGTGGGCTGCACGTAATCACATGAGTCCTTAAACGTGGAGAACCTCGACTAATTGTGGTGAGAAAGAGACGTGACCGCAGGAGCAAGATCCAGAAAGATGCAATTATGCTGACTTTGAAGATGCTGGTTTGGTCCACATTTCTCAGGTCATCTTGCTTTTCCATTTTCTCCCTCTGTGACTGATCTTTATCACTGAGTCACTCTGAGTTCAGTCCTTGGCTGCCTTCTCATTTTTCACAATCTCTCTCTCTGTAAAATATCATCCACTTTCATAACTTCACTTCTCTCTCATCCCAGACATCTCTTTTGGAGTCCAAGAGCTACACGTCCACTGCCTGTGAAGTTTCTCCTGCTGGCTACACCACAGGAACAGCCAGCTCCGTATGCTCCATAGTGAACGTTTCATTTCAGAACAAACAGCACCATCATCCAAATGGCTGAGAAAGCTTGAAGCTGGGCAGTCACCCTTGATGCTACCTCTCCCTTAGTCATCATAAGAAGCCATCGTTTTCCCCTAATAATCCACCAAAGTATCTTTTGATGTAATGCCACTCTCTCCGTCAGCCAGCCTCCTGAGGACCCTGCAGCCCACCCTTAGCATTTCCCATCCACTTAGCACAAAGTCTAGAGAGAGAGCCTTGCATAACCACTGTCCTACTTTCACAGTGGCAGAGCTGAACAAGATCCACAAGATCTTGAAGATGTGGTTCCTCCCTCAGTGTAAG